TGGTAATATTTCTGCAATAGCTATGTGCTATATGCTAATCTTGCGCCCTCCCTTGTTGACGCTGCTTCCGTTGTAAACATTTCTGATTTATCAAAGCTCGGTGCAGGAGTTTTTTTTACAAAGCAATCTGTTTCACTGTGAAGAGCAAAAATCGATTTGCCCCCAAGAAAAAGTTCCACAGCGATATTTGTGAAAGGCCTCATTGAGCTGACGATGTGGATGAGAAAGGTAATAATTTCACTTTTGCACAGAGTCAGTTTGCTGTAATTTTTGAGCTGAAAAGTAAAGCAAAACAAATTCTAGGATGTATTACATTCCCTGAGTTGAATTTCTAATTACACTTGTGCTTATCCTAAATGATATTAGTAGGGCAACCAAGGAACGTTGTTTTAGAGGAGCCTTAGTTTTTTTTCACCCTATCGATGTACTACGAGAGCGGAGCCTTGGCAAGCCAACCTCTGCGACGGTGATCTACGCAATTTCTAACAAGGGAATGGTCAGAAATCGAAGCGGCCAACTCTCAGCTCAGTGTTGGACAAAAACATGTAACTATATCTCTTCGTATGGCCCGTACTCAAAGATGAGCTAAAAGGGCAATAGCGTGCTCAATCTCACAATTGTTGTGTACGATTTTTCGCAGTATAGCTGCTCATAACTTCGCCTTCAAAGGCGCTCTGCAGATATGAAAGACAGGTTTGAAATTAGCATTCTATGCTGCATCGAATGGTACGCAGTTTGTATGGATTGGCCACTTCGACTTCTGACCATTCCCTTGTAAGCAGCACGACAGCAGCTAAAAGACGAGCTTGAGAATACTATTTCAGATAAATTATGTATGATGATGCTATGCATCCCAACGGCCCGTAGTAGACCCCCATCAGGACATCTCTCTTGAGGCGGGCCGGAGTTAATCTCATCGCGCCTCAGCACATTGCCAGGGGAGCGATTGATTTGGAGCAGATCACTCACTGGATGTTCGCGTTTTCAAAGGTGGAAACGTTTCTGTCACTTGTGCATCTTTAGTCAAATGGATAAGAATAATGCGTTTTGAGCGGCAGGTCGTGGTTCGAGTGCGGCTAGCGACACCGTTTTTGCTACTTGGCTGGCGACCTTTGATAACGGCCGCTGTCGAAAAAATCGATGATAGCCGCTATCAGAGATTTCACCTGGCAAACAAAGAGATAAAACAAATACGCATATTTTGGCATTCATACAAAAATTACACTTGGAGAAAATGAGTAGAAAGGTAAATTTACTTTCTTTTTATCTGAATCGGTTCACTATAGAAAATAAAGTGAACAAGCGAATATTGTTGGATTTCCGATTATATTATTTGAATTCGCATATTTATGCATTGGCACGATCAAATGTTCGAATATTTGAATAGCTGATGATCGAATAATCGGCTATTCGAACAATCGAATAGCTGTATATCAACGGATATATTTGATTGCAATATTTCGAATATGCAAGAAGACGAATAGACACCTTGAATATGTACTTTCTCTTGCTCATATATTGAAATTCGAACAATGCTCAAACTTTCTCGAACAATCGAATTTTCAGACGTCTCTAAAAATCCTTGAACATTTGAACACTCAAGTAAGCCAATTCAATTACAAGAATCAATGAATAATGGAATGAAGGTCTTTTTTGACTTATTCGAATATTCGAATAATCGAAATTATTTTTTTCGAATAGTCGAATATTTCAATGAATTGCTCGAACACGAATATTCGATTCCATTATACATACATCCCAACTCACTGGGCCAGATTTGGCAAAATCTATTTATAGCTTATGTTCACCAAGTTGTTGTTTGTCCGCTTGTCCCATCTCCTTGATGATCGGCTCATAATTATAGGAACATCCAGAATTTGCCGCTTCCCGGACTTTTTGAAGGAAATGCAAGGAACTATTATATTAGTACCATGTGTAAAAGCGTAGTCGAAAAGAGTATATATAGGCAGCACAAGAATGAAATTCGGTGTCAATCTTGGAAAAGCATTGGGCGCTGAACGCTTTTTTAGCCGGTTCATAATCATACGAACACCTCAATCGGAGCACTTTTCTTGCTCAACGATGCAACTTTTGGCTCCAAACTTTTCTGTAAAGCTACACTCGTTTTCTGAGATGCTTACTACGCCCTGAACTTAACGAAGTTTGAAAGCGAGAACCTTACATTAGTTTCTCAGCTCAAAATTAACTCGAACCAAGTCGGCTTCAGAAACGCTTGCATTATTGAAATTTCAAAATTCATCCAGCTTATATGAACAAAGGATAAAGGATCACTAACTATGCTACTCGGTGCTCAAAAAATATTGTTGTGATCAACCAGTTAAATGAAAAAATTGTACAAAATCTTGTACATCACAAGCATAATCAACCTAATTATGTTTGTAATGTACAAGATTTTGTATCTCGTTCAAAAATTTAGGCGTAGAGCGCTTTATTTTCACCACGCAGACGGCATTCAATAAAAAAAAAGCAATTTAACGCAAGCGCGCTACCATTTAACTTGTACGGTGGCCAAAAGCAGACGTACAAGTTGAATGGTGTGGACTTGAGACAGAGTAGTTTCATCTATAATTTGGTGTTCGTTTCAATGAGTCTCTGGATTTTACCGAGCATATTAATGAGGCTGTTACCAAGGCATTTGGCTCGGCCTTCCGGATACTTCGAAATGTCCACACGGATAATCCAACGATTATGTTACGACTTTATAAATCTTTTGTTTTACCTAAACTTGAATACTGCTCACAACTCTGGAGTCCAGTAAAGCTAAACATATTGAAAAGCTTGAAAGAGTTTAGAGAGTTTTTACTAGAATTGTGATGAGGAGATGTATCCCCGATTGTTCCGCTCTGAGTTTTCACGACCGCTTGAAGAAGCTGGGACTTGAATCTTTTGTTTGCAGAAGAGCTAAATCTGACCTCTTGTTTTGCTTCAGAGTTCTGAAACGTGAAGTCAAGTTGAATCCCAGCGATTACTGGATCTTTATGCCTGCTTACGATAGACACGGTGGTTTTAACTTGCATTACCCAAAAGTTGAGAGGAAACATGCCAACCTGTTATTTAATCACATTTTTTGTCGGGGAGCTAGATGGTTACGGTGCATACCTCGCGAAGTTTTGAGTGCTGACAACTGTGAAGCTTTCAAAAGGAAACTGAGGAAAGTTGACATTTGCCAATTATTGAATAAATCTCTGTGATTGTCCCTGGTCGGTTTCATTACAGGTTTGCCTGTTTCTGGTCTATCTCTTGCTGGCCCTCGCTTGTCGACTCATGTGTTTTGGATTTTGCTTTCCCCACATCGCTATACGACAGCCGCTTTCGTGAAGCTCCTTTCTACTACGTCGTTTCACGATTTCGTGTTTTTTTCGATTTGTTGTGTTCGTGTTTCTCGACTATCGTGTTTACTAACCATGATGTGCTGGCCTGTCACCCACTTTCGGACTGGGCAACAGCATTGTGCCTTGGGACCGTAGACAGCTGCTTTCATGCATGGCTTTCTCAGAATAAGGCAGGTGTATCCAAGCGTCGGTGGTGTAAGGTTGGTGGATACCTAGCAGGAACCAATCGCAGACGTTTTGGACAGCCCGGAAAAGTGGCAATGGCATTCCCCAATGCCAATCACCTGACCTCCCTTGACCAAATAGAAATTTTTCTTCCTAAACACCCAGGCCTTTATTCGCTGTTTGTTTGTTCTGGTGAAAGGTGACAGGCTAGTTTTTTACTCTAGCAATTTTTTCGTCACTCATCCAGGCTTTGGCACACGTTTACGTGTACGAAATAAACAAATAAATAAATAAATAATTGTGTTGGAAAATGTGAATTACGTACGTTGTAATGACCTTCTACGATTTCTTCAGCAACTCTTTGATTTGCAGAGTCATAAATGAGATTATTTGACTTTAAGTAATTTGAGCAGATTATTCTAGATTCTTTCCGATAAGGAAGCATTACATATCGATTCAATCACTTTTTAGTGTTTTGGGTGGTTTCTAGCTCTGGCTTTTTGTTGCGGCTCATTTTCACACTGTTTTTTAGGTGCCTTGGTTTCGTTGTTATCTCCACTTCATGCTACTTCCATCGTAATTTTCGCTAATACTGTTCCTTAACTGTGTACCATTTGTTTTTCTTCCATCTGATTGTGAGCAAGGATATCATTTGTGTGATCTGTGCGTTAAGCTATTTTCTATACTACTGGGTTCACTCGCGTGCTACATTCTCACTGCGCCATCTGCAGCACTTACCAGTCGGGCAGCTGCGGCGATCGACACGTGATCATACCCAGCAAGTTACTTGCTTGGATCATTCGCTGGCCCCACTTTTTGTTGTATTCTGGGGGATTATCACAGCTTAGAAATCGTATGTCGCTGTAGTTTACTTCTCCCAGGCTTTTCCAGCAAGAATTGAATCCAAATTTGAAAAAAAAAACGGATAGACTAAAAAAAACTTTGTGCACACCCCACACGAACAGGGTAACTTGTATGCTTTGTTTCAAGTCTGCATCTTTAGTGCCTAAATACTACGAATGCATAGTCTTTTGATTATGACATAATTTTGGATAACGATAATTCATTATGCGAAGCAATAAGCGATGTAAAGCGGAATCTACGCTAATCATGAAGCAAAAAATGCCATTTGATTATACAAGGTGATTACAGACAGCACGTCCCCTTATGCAAACTTGTTTTACTCAAAAAAAAACTATCTGCTCAACGCTACTTTTCTAAAGTGCTATAAATATGTGTACAGAAAGCACTTGAGTCCCTTTTTACAACTGCATTTTAAATGAGGTTCCAACGCGAGCTCATTATCGTAAATAAAGAGTAGCATCCTGTTTGCAGTGCTAATCATCCCAATCTCCATCCAAAATACTACTACAACAGTTCGATGTTTCACGCAAATGGATCTTGTACGCTTTAAAACGGAATGACTGATGACAGAAAAACTGCTGATTGCATTGACGAAAAAGTTGGTATATAAGGACAGACCTATCCGCACTTTGTAAACGTAAGCACCATACCTGGAGTTGAAGACTGGGCTTGCCCTGTAGTTTGTAAATGTTCTGTAGCAGTAGTAATCGTTTTTGTGCTCGTTAACAAGGTAGTTCCTGAATGTGGTGTGCCGTTCGCAGTAGACGTCGCATCTGTTTCCGAATACACAGTAGAGAATGTTGATCCTGTAGCTGGAGAATCCCTGGTAGAATCGGTCACAACTGTCGGCGGCGCTTCAGTGGACTTTCGGCCTGTAGCTGAGGAATCCTTTGTAGGATCAGTTACAACTGTTCCTACAGTTCCAGTGTATGATGTTGCTCCTTTAGTCGAAAAGTCCTTGGTAGAATCGGTCACAACTGTTTTCGACATTTCAGTAAATGATGTCAGGCCCGTAGCTGTAGAGTCTCTGGTAAAACCGGTCACAACTGTTCTCGGCGTTTCAGTGGACTTTCGGTCTGTAGCCGAGGAATCCTTGGTAGGCTCAGTTACAAGCGTTCCTATAGCGTCGGTGTTTGATGTTGGTCCTTTAGTGGAAAAGTCCCTGGTAGAATTGGTCACAACTGTCGGCGGCGTTTCAGTGGACTTTTGGCCTGTAGCTGAGGAATCCTTGGTAGGATCAGTCACAACTGTTTCTATAGTGTCGGTGTTTGATGTTGGTCCATTAGTGGAAAAGTCCTTGGTAGGTTTGCTCACAACTGTTCCCGGCGTTTCAGTGAATGTTCGGCTTGTGGGTGAGGGATCCTTCGTGAAATGGGTCACAACTGTTTTTGGCATTATGGTGAATGTTTGGCCCGTAACTGAAGAGTCTCTAGTAGGGTCGGTCACAGTAGTTTCCGGATGTGTTGGTTTTGAAGGATCGGGTTGATGAGTTGGTCCTGAGGGATCAGGTTGATGTGTTGGTCCTGAAGGAACAGGGGGATGAGTTGGTCCTGAGGGATCAGGTTGATGTGTTGGTCCTGAAGGATCAGGGGGATGAGTTGGTCCTGAGGGATCAGGTTGATGTGTTGGCCCTGAAGGATCAGGGGGATGAGTTGGTCCTGAGGGATCAGGTTGATGTGTTGGCCCTGAAGGATCAGGTGGATGTGTTCGTTCTGAAGGGTTAGAGTGACGTGTTGTCCCTGTTCGCGAAGGGTGATCAGGTACAGTCATCGTTGGCCTCGAAGGATCAGGGTAGCGTGTTGGTCTTGTCGGAGTGCTTGGTGTTGATACTGAAAGCAAGCTTCTTTAGTTTTGACATTACGACAATGCCGAGAAATCAAAGTTAAATCTCCTTCTTCGTCTTTTTTTAAATCAAAATAAGGCTCTAAAATTTTGTCCCTACAAGGGAGAGGTCAGGAATCGAAGTGGCCAATCCAAACAAGCTTATATCATTCGATGCAGCTTAGAAAGCTGATTTCAAATCTATCTCCCGTATGTGCAGAGCTCCTTTGTAAGCGAAGTTATGACCACCTCTAGTGCGAAAAAATCATAAGCAAAAATTGCAAGATTAGGCACATTATTGCGCTTTTCGCTCACCGTTAGGTACTGGCCATAAGAAATGACCGAGCTGCACGTTTTCGTCTGTACTGAGCCAGGAATGGCTCTACACGGCCAAGTTTGCCTTTTACACACACAACTTCTTAGCAAAATAATGTCTTTAACGGCATATAAATCCAATCAGTTAGTTATATAAATGAGCATAAATTTACAAGGTGTCTGAAAACTCTTAAAGCCTGTCATTGCAGCGTGATGTTTGTTGGTAACTGTCGTTCTCGAATCCAATTTTGTATATGCTCATAACTTAGCACTCGTTATCTCCCAAAAAAGTACAAACTGGTTCGCTGTCTTAAGTAGTGATTCTAAAGCGAACAATGCAACACTTTTAGGCCCGTATGCACGTACATCCCCGCTGGGAAGGGAAGGGATCTGAGAGGGGATGCGGTCATATCTCGCTACTCTACGTGTCTTTCTTCTTCTTTCTCTATCCAGCTCATGAAGTTTTTCACACACTTATACCTGCGTGTAATGAATGTCAGATTACTTCCATGCAAAATTGGTTATTTGCCATCTCGTGTGATCACCAGAGGATCACCTGGGGACCCCTGGGGATCACCTCTCATTTTCAAAGTGATTTATCCTTCGGAAAAGTCAATGAAAACGCTGTAAAATTGTACTGAGGATATACTACGGCACTGCTGAGCATATTTTCGACAGGATGGAATCCGAAATTTGTGAAATTTTCGATGATCCCTAGCTCGCGAGCTAGGGATTACCGAAGATTCCAATATCCTAAGATTTCACTTATTTCTACCATAAACATCTTTAGCAGTGTTGTATTATATCCACAGTATCAAAGAAGGAAGAAGAAAGATACTCAGGGTAGCGACATATGACGCATCCCCTCTTAGATCCCCTCCCGTCCCCAGCGGGGAATGTAAGTGCATGCGGGCTTTGTTGAGCAGTGGTTTCGAAGATCTTTATTTGCATTAGAGAGCTGATTTGCTCTGCAAAAGTGCAAATCAAACCACCAATCACTGCTCTTTACTGTAGGCACAAGGTACAGTTTTGAATTTGCTTTTGACGTCTTCGAGATTCTGACTGCAACATTTCGACAGTTTCGCAAAACTTTAAGATCCAAGTCTTTGATTTGATTGCCGCTTTCAAATTAATTTTATCCTTACTGCCACTGCCAAGGGTATGTTCTCAGAGATTCACGGGCCTGTTGCAAGAAAAGTAGAGAATAATTTGAACTTAAGTTCACGTTGTAGTTCGAAATGTGTGATAAGTTGTACGCCAGGTTTTAATTGTATTAGGTTATTCCAAAAGTAACATTCTTGAATAAATCAATCTGTTTTTGTTTTTCCAGCAGTTTTAGGATACCATTCGATAGACGAAGCAAGCTTTACAAAATGACCAGACCCGCCTAAATCGTTATCCTGGTAAAGTTTGGAGCAAAAATTGAAAAAAATTGTTAATTGAGAATTAAATTTTTACGAAGAAAAATCCTACGGATTTCAAACTTCATCATTATACAGCGTACATACAGGAAGTTCCAAGCGTAAGTATACACTTTTTAATCGTTATGTCTCTCTTTCCAATGGGCCTTTTTTTGCTAGTTAAGTACCATTCCGTAGGTAGAGTATCGGCCGAGACATCAATCGCTCTTCCTTACTGCAGAATTAGGCAAGAACTTTCAGCATATGGAATCATTGGGAAATATGCCATCTGATAAAAGTTTTCTCAAAAAATTTGAAAAATCGTACATTAGGGTTTCCGCGCACTCTAATTCCACTACACAACTTTTTACGAGTGTTTCAGCCTTCTTCGCGGTGCAACCACATTTCTGACAAATACTGGGAAATTATTACAGTTTACCTGGGATAACTTTGGAAAAAAGCATAACAGTAAAATGAAAATTTTATATTCGAAATAGCGGCTTTCCACAACCATAGCACAAGGGTTTTTGGCTTGTTTGGTTTCGTTCCACAGCATAATATGGCTTCCAATGGCCTAAAATCCTTGTCGTTCCTACAGTAATCCTACAGTAATGAAGAGCGATCGATGATTTGCTCTATACAGTAAATCTAAGTTGAAGCCTCCTCTACAGAATGGTACTTAAAAAGCGGAAAAAGACGCAATGAGAAGGGAGATATTAACGATTGAAAAGTGAGCACTTACTTTTGGGACACCCTGTATTTGATTAATTGAATCCATGTTGGGATTTAGTTAACTCTTATGGCTTTGAACACCACAGTGGCTCAAAGAAATATCACCTATAGGTTTTTAACAACCTACGTTAATACAAAACTATGCGAACTTCTGGAATTTTTTGAAAAACATGTTTACCGGTAGTACTTCGCATGATCGTAGTCGCAGCTGTGGTGGACTTAGTTGTCTCCGTGCTGGTTTCTTCTCAAATCAGTTTCTTTATAGCAGGTTGGTGATATAAAAAATCTAGCAGATTCTGCCCTCACCTTTCTTATGCTTTTTCATTACGATCATTACAACAGCAACAATTATAGCAAGAACCACAATCGCTGTCAAAATCAAAAGACCACAATTCACTGATCTCTTTGCACCCATTAGCAGCGCGAATCACTTCTAAATCATCATAAATACTTTGAACACGCTGCATAGTGTAAGTAACTCATATTCAAAATAATTTCTATCTTTATTCGGTTGCGATGCAAATGTATTGGTTTCACTTTCAATGCTTACAGTCTAAGAGTTAGAAGCTTTTTTCAAATGTGATATCAACGTTCAGAGGTTTTAGGCTAAAAAATTTTATGCTGTCTTTAGTGTGAAAAAGTCTGAGGCTGAGTCAGAATTTTGCGTGCGCTCAGGCGCTAAGTAGCTGAAGTTCACGTAAAAGAAAAGGACAGCTGGAGCTCAAAGATACAAGTGCAAAGTTGTGTTTCCGTAAAAGCGGTCGAAGACACATCAAATACTGCTCACAAATTCTTGCAATACCTTATTTTGAGGCAAAACGTTTATAACACAGTAAAGCCCCAGGCCACTCATCACATCCATTGTACATGGGAAAACTCGAAATTTTACATCGAATGAATGAATATCGAATAAATTTGGAAATCAAGAATTTCGAATAAACGAACATCGAACAAATTCGAGAATCAGAAATTTGCGAATGAATGAATCTTGAAAAAAATCGAAAAATGAAAAGTATCGATTGAACAAATATCGATTATATTCGAGCGCGATCGATTTTCGAATAAATATTCGATTGTGTTGTAAGTTCTTCAATCTTGCAACTTGGACATGTTAAACAGTTTTTTATCTTTCTGCCAAAAACCTTTTCTCACTCGTATATTCGATTCGTCTAGTGTAGAGAAAGTAGGTCTGGCGGTTGACTCGTACTCACCAGTGTACTACCGTTATTGCGATGTGCAACCGCTTATGACGAGCTCGTTCGACTGTGGCGACAGACAAATGAACAGTATGCATGGCATCAAACCGCATTAATAAGCGCTAATAAATTTTTTAAAGTGATGCATGTGAAACGGAGGTGTCAACGGTTGCTTTAATACAATGTCAAAAACTGCAAAAGTAGAATCCACTTATCCACTCTATCTATTCTTTTCATCTTTCTATCTGTTGAATTTACTTATACGAAACCTCAAAACGTATTGTAGGTTGGTATACATACGGGAAAAAAGCTTTCATTATAGCGCAGACAAAATACGGAAAGAAGCAAACAAACACCCATGTCATTAATATTTTCAGTTCACAAATTTTGGCTTAATTTGATGAACCATTCTTTTCTTGACAGTTTTGTTATCACAGATTCAACGTCAGCTTGTATGTAATTGCCAAAGACAATTTTTGACTGCATTCTTTGCCCTTTATCAACAGAAACGGAGACGAGCATTGTTTGGAAGTACAAATACTATGTACACCGTACGCAAAAATAAAATCACATGTTATGTTAAGCTTCATACATACCTGACGATGAAGGTGTAGCGGGTATTGGCGAATCGCTGATCAGCTGGGAGGGCTAATAATACCTTGCTGTTGCGATGCACCCATGCCAGCAGTCTACCGGGAAGAAGCAGCGGAGACAGCAGCGATTCACCGATACCCGCTATACCTCCATCGTCAGGTATGTATGAAGCCTAACAGAACATGCAATTTTATTTCTGCGTACGTGTGTTTGTAATAAGCACACAGCGCACTACATTTACTAAAGAAATTAAATAGTTTGACAGATGTTGATTTAGCAACATTCAAACTAGGTCTATTCACTGCCGTATTGTATAAGTGGGCCAGCAAGATTCTAATATTTTCCTTGCTAAGCATCTGCCTCTAGCTATTCATCGTTCTATTCATATTCTGTTTTGAGTCCAGAGGTCTTGTAGAGTTTATCACCTTTAAATCAGCTTGTTCACCTGTGCATGTCTTTTTAATACTCTCGCAAAACTGTCATGGTTCACATATCGCAACAAATACTCTGGAAATCCTTTGAAACACAAAAAAAAAATGGTAAATAGAGGCAAATCCGAGCGAAATGAGCTGATAGCAGCATAGAGCAGCTGTACTTTGTACTCCAACAAATACTTTCTTTGATGGCGTTGCTGTTCATCTACAGAAGTTATAAATTTTTTCTTTCAAAAATGTGTAATTGCTCAAAAATTGTCTACCTCTTTCCCGAAACAGATGATCTTGCATACACATGTTCTACTCTATCATGTTTTCAAAAACAAAAGGTTTTGTCCAATTCTACTTGAATCTTCACAAAAAGGACAGCAAATGATGAGAGAGAATCGAAAATGATAAAACAATGATTGAGGAGAATGATGAGAGAACAACATTACTCCCCTCCCCCCTCGGTCGACATTTTACAATTTCTCGACCGAGTGAAACACCCTTCACCCTGGATAGGCTGCGACCACGACCCCCTTCACCCTGGAGGAGTCATTCTCACCTTATCGTACCTAAGTGCTCGATTACCCCCCTCCTCTCCCCCCCCCCCCCGCTCTTCACTGTGCCAACTCCCAGCCCCGCAGCTCAAACTTGCAAAAAACCGACAAACTCGATGAAGTAACGGGTAATTGCAAAACTAATACTTACTCCTATTCAGCATGATAAAAGATGTGCACACTGTTCAATCGTTAATAACTTCCTTGCTTTCATGTCTTTTGTCGAGCTTAAAGTACCATTGTATAGAGCGAGGTTCAACTTAGATTTGCAGAATGGAGCGGAACATCGATCGCTCTTCATTACTGTAGGATTACGGTAGGAACTTCGAAGAGGGTTTTAAGCCATTGAAGGGCGCAATTTGCTTCAGAAAGAAGGCCAAGCAAGGAAGAAACTTTCAAACTGAAATAATTGAAGGTGCTGATTCTAAATATGAAGTTTGCACTTTAGTCTGCTGCTTCTTTCATAAGTTATTTCAGATTTACAGTAAAAACTGTTTTCCCAATGTCCCTCAAAAATGTGAATACGCGAACAAGAAAGTTCGAAAAATTGATAAAAAGTTATGTACTAAAATCAGCACGCCTAAAAAACTTTAATACACAGATTTTCAGATTTTTTTGAAATTATTTTATCACAACGCCTATTCCACAGTGACGCTGTTTGTTGGAAGTTCATACCGTAATCCTACAGCAATGAAAAGTGATTGGTGATTCGCTCCACACTGCAAATCTAAGTTGAACCTCGCTCTACAGAATAATATCATGAGCTCGGCAAAAAACCTGAAAGCAAGAGAGTTATTGACGATCAAACAGTGTGCACATCTTTTTGGGACACTCTGTATATAATTAATCATGCTAATAAATAATAATATTATTAAAAATTATTATTTATTTTAAAATCGAAAATGATAAAACAAATGATTTGTTTTATCATTTTCGATTCTAAAATAAATAATAATTTATTTTTCTCCATTACCCCAAATCAATCAATCGATCAACGCAATCACCCCCCTCCCCAATCAATCTAAGGCTTCATAAATACCTGTCGATGGACTGTAGGTGACAATGTCTCGCTGCTAGCAACAACGCTTTTTATGCGTATCGATTGCGACCAAAAGACGTTGGTACTCCTAGCTACTCGGCCAACGCGAAACAGACCGCTATCGCCAACGATGCTGCGCTGCTTCTGGCTGCTCCCTGCTGCTCGTTGCCGCTCTCGCTGTTACGCGATACGAAGAGCTTTTCTCAGCTGCTCTATGCTGCTGTCAGCTCATTTCGCTCGGATTCGCCCCTATTTACCATTCTTTTGTGTTTCAAAGGATTTCTAGAGTATTTGTTGCGATAAGTGAACCATGACAGTTTTGAGAGTATTAAAAGGACATGCACAGGTGAACAAGTTAATCCAAAGGAGATAAACTCTACAAGACCTCTGGAATCAAAACAGAGTATGAATAGAACGATGAATAGCTAGAGGCAGATGCTTAACAAGGAAAATATTAGAATCTTGCTGGCCCACTCATACAGTACAGCAGTGAATAAACCTAGTTTGATTGTTGCCAAATTAACATCTTCAAACTATCTCAATTTCTTTAGTAAATGTAGCATCTGTGCACTGTGTGCTTATTACAAACATACGTACGCAGAAATAAAATTGCATGTTCTGTTAGGCTTCATACATACCTGACGATGGAATAGCGGGTACTGGCGAATCGCTGCTGTCTCCGCAGCTTCTTCCCGGTAGGCTGCTGGCATAAGTGCATTTTAGGTGCAAAAGCAAAGTATTATTAGCCCTCCCAGCTGATCAGCGAATTGCCAATACCCGCTATACCTTCATCGTCAGATATGTATGAAGCCTAATACAACATGTGATTTTATTTTTGCGTACGTGTACTTCCAAACAATGCTCGTCTGCGTCTCTGTTGATAAAGGGCAAAGAATGCAGCCAAAAAATTGTCTTTGGCAATTACATACAAGCTGACGTTGAATCTGTGATAACAAAATTGTCAAGAAAAGAATTGTTCATCAAATTAAGCCAAAATTTGTGAACTAATAGAAAATGTTAATGACATGAGTGTTTGTTTGCTTTTTTCCGTATTTTTGTCAGCACTTTATATTGAAAGCGTTTTTTCCTCGTGTATACCAACCTACAATACGTTTTGAGGTTTCGTATAAGTAAATTCAACAGATAGAAAGATGTAAAAAATTAGATAGAGTGGATAAGTAGATATTACTTCTGCAAGTTTTGAGATTGTATTAAGCCAACAGTTGGCACCTCCGTTTTACATGCATCACTTTAAAAAATTTATTAGCGCTGATATAAAGACAATCAAGGAATCATCAAGCGGCGCTGTCTCTCGCTACGAACATTCTCCAAAACCTATTTTCGTATCAGTGGGGGTATATCTATGATTTATACATCAGCTAATTGTACATTCTTTCATAATGTTTTGACCAACCACCTTCGTTTGCTTCACGCTTCTTTTTTTCCAAATCTATTTGAGTATCTCTCTGAACATGTAATTAAGCTCATTTGAAGAATTTTGTTACCATCCTCTCCTGAATGATCTCTATAACAGTTTCCAACAGCGCATTTTCGTGTCCCTTCACCAGAGAGTTCGCCAGAGACTTGTTGGAGCTTTGGATACCATAGAATCTGTTTGTGATTATTTAT